TTACGCATGGAGTGATTCATGTAGTTTTGTTCTGGATACGTCAGAACCACCGCTGGCAAACCTTTGTAGCCAAACCGCTATCAGAAATTCAATCAGTCTTACCTCATCACATTGAATCAGATAAAGGAAGGAAATCCAGCTGATTGCATCAAATCACCGTTAACTCAAATCGTAAATCCTTTCTTGAACCCTTTTATCGATAAGATGGACTTACCATCGGGAAGATTAAGACAATTCACATCGCGCAGGACAGAAATATCCTATTTTTTGCCCAAGAAACATCACAACAGATTATAGTGAATCATTTCATGAATCCCATCTTCATGTGGCCCCCTGCTACTACTATCAGTGATTAGAAGAGAATATTGGATAATCCACGATAGGTCAGCTGTAACACTGATTTGGACATGTGTGAAATTCATCGTGTACGAGCTAAAACATCTACCCCGATAATGTCTGATTTACCACGTCTAGAGTCGTTCCGTCAAGGTTTCTCCAAGTGGGAATTGACCCCCGGCCATTCAAGTGAAGCCAGGCAAGGTCGAGGAGTAAAACCAATGAAATGCTACATTTGTGTATTCGTGTGTTTTTTACTACAAGCTATACATATTGAATTAGTAGGTAATCTAACATCAAATCATTTATTGCCGCTTTGAAGCGCTTTGTATTCGAAGCGGAAACCAATAGAAGTGCATAGCGATTGTGGCAAATTTTATTGCTGCAGATAAGGAATTGAAAAAAATAATCTTTGAAAATGAATTGGTTATAATATTTGCTCTACGAAGGTATTAATGGATATTTAATCCTTCCCGAGACACATTTGTAGGATTATGGGAAGCTGCAGCCAATCTACAAAGTTACATCTCAACTACCGAACCAAGAGAACAAGGTGAACAACTTCTAACACAAGAAAATTTACGACAGCTATCAAATGAACTTGTTTAAATTCTGACCTTTGTGTCCATGTCTGAAGATCCATCAGAATTTTCTGCACTTAGCCAGGCCATTTTTTAATTGGTACCGCGCTAACTGCCTTACCTGAAGAAAGTTTACACAATCAAAAAATTCCTATATTGCAACATTGGAAGCTTGTTGAGAAATGTTTCAAGCTTTTGGAAAGATGGTCCAATGAATCATTTCTAATTTGCAATGACGTTCAAAATGGTTGAAATGCACCCTAATTTAAAGGTTAATGATTTAGTTACATAAGAAGACACTTTACCCCCGCTACGATGGAAATAGGAAAGTGCTGAAGTTTTTCCTAGCTCAGATATATTGGTGTATCGTGAAGATCAAACTGCTAATGGAGTTTTCAAAGGCCAATTCACAAACTTAGTTTTTGCCTATCATGATTAAGTTTTTTCCCCTAAAGCATTATAACATTGTACTTTGCTTTAACTATATTAATTCCTGATTGTATCAAGGCTTCTGTGATCTGTTTTGAGAATAATTTAGTTTCATTTCATATTATGTTTTCTTGTGAAAATTTTAATGATACATTTTTGCATAATTTAATATTGTTATGATAATTTCATTTTGTAAAAGCTATTTAGTTTGAAATGATGTTTCAACGCCGGGCGGAATGTTTCGGCCACCAGAGCTCTCTGCCTGTCTACGAGATATTATTTCGCAATGAGCAGATCGTATGCGCAGCTCGCAGTTTGTTCTTGCATTCTTGCAAACGCTAATTGTAACTCTGTCGCTTTACTTTGTGCTGTGTTGTGTTCGAAAGTTCAAACTGCCGAATAAAGGTTAATCTACAGTCCACTCGCATTGATGTATTCTTATGTTTATTAATTTAAAGTTAAGATACCGCAACGCTACACAGAGAAATGGTCAAAAAGGGATTTCTGGGAGTATGATTCACCATCTGACGATCCATATAATGAAGAAAAGTTGTTTATTTAGTTTCAGCTTCGGTACAGGGAAAAAATGTGTGTTCGTATTGGGTGGGAGCAAAGGAATACGGAATTTACTGGAATTTCTACCGCTTTCGCAATTCTTTGACCAATAGAACGACGTGCACCTGTCCGTACTTGTTCACAAAGGTTATGTTATGCAGAGAAAGGGGTGAAATGTGATTTCTGGGAATATGACTCACCATCTGACGATCCATATAAGGAAGAAGAGTTGTTTATTTTTATTTTCAGCTTTGGTACAGGGAAAAAATGCGTTTTGGTTTTAAAAAAAAAAAACACTAAAAGCAAAAAATAAGCACTAAAAACAAAAAATAAGTGCTTCAGAGAAAAAGTAAGCACCTATAAGGGCTTTTATTTTTTATCTTTAAATATAAGGACTTATAAGCACTTGTAAGGACCACTACGAACCCTGATTAAATCTATTACAGACTTGTAATGCACACAACAGTTAGAAAGAGTGAACACGGAGCTGACTCAGAAATTAGACTGAATGCCACCTTGTGTTTGCTTTGCTGTGATTGGTTGGTTCTTGTATTAGGTTTTTATAAAGTTCAACAGTTAGAAGGGATATGACATTTCAGTTACCTTGCAAAGGTTTACCTTGGTTAGCAAGTTGAAAAAATCACTATGTGCATGAATCAGGGTTGCCACTCAAGCAGGAGAGAAATTCCCTGACTTTTCCAGGTTTTCCAGGTGTGTTTTAAGAAAATTTCAGTCTATTCACGTAATGCACGTTGGCTGTGCTAAGAGGTAAATTAATTATGGTATTACTTGAAAACACAAAAATTTGCCAATTACATATGACTTATATCCTCAAAGCATTACTATTATAATTATAATAGAAGTTGTTTTCTCCACTGAAGATTGAGATTAGAACTTGCATAATCTGGAATAAAAGAAGGCTTTTTTTGCAGACATTTTGAAGCTAAATGAAAGACAAAAATGCTAAAAAAAAAAGCAATTGAAAGAAATTAGCATTTGTAGCTAAAAGAAACATAAATAAAAGAAATCTTTTTAATGATATTTTAAAAATAAATTCAGGTATTTTATATTTATTTCACAGCATACATAAACAAAAAAGATGTGCATTAAATTCCGTGATGGTACATCATCATACTGCTAGAGTTAACCTCAGAATTATGCCAGAGAAAATTTCCTGAATGTATTATTTACTATTAATAAATAAATTTGGAGGGAAGAAGCAACATTAAATGATATGAATAGCCTAAAAATAAAGATAATTACTTAAAAATTGAATTAGAATAATCAGCAATATTTTAGCAAATATAGTTATATTACATGGTTAGCCTAGATGACTGATTACTATTTTTTTATTTTACAATGGCAAATAAAGTATTTATTAAAAAGGAAAAAAAAAGGTTTAAAAGATTTTGTGGTAAAATCCTAGTATACGATAAGGTCTTGACACAATTTTGAAAATTGCTGCCAAAACCAAAATGACCTGTTTACTGCTCATCATAATGTCACCAAATCCGTGTACACCGTACATGGAGGTTATTCTAACCAAAGAATGTCTATATACAGAAGAAAACGTTCCATAAATGTAATGCTATTACGCTGCTAGAAAGCGGAGGGAAAATTTGCCAAAGGATTTGGCGACGGAACCTGGCGCCAAGAACTTCCCTCTAAGCGATGTATACAGGAAATTGAGGAACACGTGTTAAGAAGAAATGTTCTTTGACAAACAATTTCTACTTTGATTTTTTGCAATAATTTAAAAACGGGTTTTCGTAGTTTTTTTTTTTTTTTTTTTTTCCCCTGGCTAAAAATAACTAATCCATTAATTAATTTACTTGCGACAAAAAATGTTTTCTTTGCCTTTAAAGTTTAAAGAAATTTTAAATGATATTCATTTTATGAACTCTTGATAACGTGACCTTCAAACTTCGACACCGGCTTTGAGTTTTGACGACAGATATTTCGCACATGCGCAGCCGTTTCCCTCTATGTTGGAACAGAGCCACTTCGGTTGCAGAGTTTTCCTTCTTAACAATACATATTCTTTGATACTAACCTCCTTGGTACCGTATATTAGGATTAAACTGATTTCGTTTTATACGAGAATAAGTATTTTGCTTAGTTCAACATGCACTGCACATGCGCATGCGATTCTACTGGAAACCAAAGTTGCTGGAAACTTGCTTTGCCTTTCTAAAAAACAATCTAATTGGAGCTGCGAAAATTGGCTATATGTCATCTGCCCGAATGACGCACACGCGATACACAATTCGGCAAGAAAGTGATCACTTCCAACGTCGGCGCAAAACTCAGAATCGCTATATGAAATTCCCTGACTTTTCCAGATTTTGACAAAAATATTTAAATTCTCTGAAATTTTTGGTCAATTTTCAAATTCCCTGACTTTTCCCAGTTTTCCAGGTACTGTGGCAAACCCGATGAATCCATTTTAAAATTTAGGGGAATACATTCTCAGAATGCTGTGAGGAAAGAGAAAATTATGCAAATATTAAGAATATTTTCAGAAACCGGTGCTAAAAAGCTAGGGGTAAAGTAAGTGAGGAAATATGGTATTTCTCTCTCTGATTTAAGTCAAAAATTGACATTCATACAATTTCAATTCTTTGAAAAAAATTATAAAACTGAAAGGTTTCAGGTTTTAATGGTCACCTAAAACAGTTTTTTGCAGTTTTTTACAACCTCGCTGAACTCGCAGTTTATCAATCATTTGCCCGAATCAAACTCCCAGTTTTAATCACTCAGCCACTGATAGGACTGATAGATAAAGAGAAAACTATGAAATTTAACAGAAATTTTAATTTTCATTCCTATTTCTTTGACAGCTTTTTATATCTGTCACTGTGAAGAGCATTTTAAAATCATACAGTGATGAGACACTAGCAATTTCAGAAAATATCATGAAAAATTTTTAATGCATTAAACTGAAGTTATATTCCAAAGAAGCATTTTCTTTATGCTACAAATATTTATCCACAAATAAAATATTCAATTATAAATTCCCATTTTATCTCTAAATGTCACAAAAGTAATGAGACACTAATAGCACTGCAAACAAAACCATCAGTAATAAAGGCAACATGATGCATTTTATGGCATATTTTGCACTGAAACACAGTAGGTAATACCTGAAAAAATCATCTTTTAAGTTGTTTCAATATTTTATTATGACGGTTTATTTTACTCAATACAATAACAAGTGTTCAATCACTTTCTTGATATGATTTCCAAAACACAGAAAATATTTGATTTTGGGCAAAAAATATTTAGGAATGAACATTGAGTAAATAAATACTTCAAAGGGAAACATATTATACAATTTCATCTTACTGCATTTAAAAGTTTTGACACCATTTTTTTGGAAATCGCAAATGACAATTTACGCTTGTGAGACAAAGTAAAGAGCATTCATCAGCTGTAGCACTAAATCATCTGCTACATGGATCAGTAGCATACAGTAATAATTGAACTGCTTACAAAATCATATATTTTTAATTTCTTCACTGTACTTGAAACACATGTATTCTCAAGCATCCTTAAATTTTTACAAAGTGACAGTAAAACTTGAAATTTAATATTTGCATGCTACTGACTCAATAAGTGCTACTCCAAACTCTTATAAAGCTACAAAACAAAACTGTAACTGCTGCTGATTGAAATGAAATAATACACACAGGCCAAATATTACGTGACCTCATTAATGTTTTTGAATTCTGATCATGCAATGCCCTATCCACTCTTTTCCTTCATGAAGGAAGAAATTATTTTGGGAATTTAAAATGAAAAGGACATAAATGTGAATCATATAGAATTTAGCGAAATCTGCACATTCTGTCAAAGAAAATTAGCATGTTATTTGTTAAAACAAAATCTGCTTAAAATTAAGACATAAATCTTACTACAAACAAACAGAGAAAATGAAATATTATAAAAAGAAAGATAATAGAATTGCTAATGAAAATTTAGATGATATTAAGCTATTATAAAATGAAAAAACATTCCATATTTATAGAAAAGGAAGGTTTGGCAAACAGTCAGCATATCTTTAACTTTTCATCTGCCATCTCTTCATATATAGATGTTTAACAACTGATGTTCCATATCTTAGATCAATGTTTCCCAAACATTTTAGCCTCAAATCCCACATGCATCTATTTGCAACTCGCAGGGATACACAAGCATGTAATTATTCTGTTGGGGGAGAGTGGAAAGCAAAAAGAGAGATTTTTAGAAGAAAACACTGTAATAGTCAAATAATAATGAATAAGCTTATATAAACACTGAAAATCAACTAATAAATTACACATTAATTCATAATTATAGGTACATATAAACAACTGTTCGTTACAAGAAGAAGCACTCCAAAACAGTTTTAAGACCCACAAAAAAATTTTTTGTCACCCATAGTTTGAGAATAAGTGCTCTAAATAACAGAACTTTTAGTACATGGGTTTATAGAGTCTGATACGGTTCACAAAGCAGGAAACACAAAAAATCAGCTATGTGCTGCGAATTTGAATTCCGGATCTTTCCTCCCAGATTCCTGACCAGCTAGGCATATTACCACTTGTACAACAAAGGCATAGAGTAGAAAATGCAGAATATCCATTATTAATTAAAACATGTTATTCCTATTTATAGGGAATTCAATAATAGGGAGGGAAAAAGCTAAGCATACCGAGGAGATGAACTAGGAGATTGCCCTGGAGTACCAGTGGGAGAGGCATGTCGAGGTGGAACTGGAGGCGGAGCAGCATTAGGTGGTCTCCTTGAAGACTGTGGAGAGGCTTTTGGCGAAACCATAGGTGAACGACTATTAGACTGAAAATATGCATAATAATGAATTATTTATTATTATTATGATGATTATGGTTAATATAATATAATGCTGTAACTAATAATACTCAAACTCTCAAAACAACTTTAAATTTAGAATGTCATATTTCATCATTAAAAAATGTTATCAGATTGGTTGGTCAATCATGTTATTTATCTAGCACAAAACCTGTAAAGTCTGTCCTTTACCAAACACAAACATTTAAAGTCCATGCATATATATATATACATGCTTATAATAACAGGGAGTATAGAGTAAAATCAGTTAAAATTCCCAGTGTAAAAAATTTGGAGGGAGGAGTAACAATTATGAAAAAACACAATATCTACAGGTACAGGTTGAAATGTAATAGGGCACCCGATGTTTCATATAAGTAAATGGGTATAGCCCTATTACACTTTTATTTTTATTAATTTAGACTGTAATAGATAAATAATAGTTTACAGTCAGTGCCTTTGCATTTACAAACTTTGAAGTCATTTCCAGAATTTTGGTAGCACAAATTTTGTTACAAACACAACTTTTTTTTTCCTTTAAAGTTAGCAGAATTTTGTCATAATATATAATTAGTCATATTAGATCTTTAGGATCAGGTTTATAATAGATCTTTCTTTTTTTCATAGTTCATTATTTGTAATATATACAGTACAAAGTCTTTAATCCGGACCTCAAAGCTACAAACTTTCTGCACATGCGCGTTTAATGTATAACAGACGGTATAAGCTAGGCTAAAATTATCTAATTATCTAGTTCAGTTAATGTTGCAGATTGCATTGTTCCTTAATATTCTAATTGGATCTGGTTTATTATTTTTTGCAGACTGTTAGAGCAATTTTATAAAAAGTAAGCTTGAACTTTCGATTATGTCAAAAAGAGTTTCAGATTCTGGAGCTGCCAAAGGATCTACATAGCAAAAGCATGCTTCGATGTACCGCTTCTGATAGTGAAGAAAGCGACAGAGAGGTTATTGAAAATGAAAAAGTTTCGATTGACAAGTTAGTCGGTATTCTCGACACAGCAATTACAGGACTTGAACAGCGGAACTGAACAAGAAAGTATGTCTGTTTATAGAATTAAAGAGAAAGTATTAGCACAAAAAATGAAGCAACTTAAACAACTTACACTGAAAGAAGTGTTTAATAAAGTAAAAAAATAAATATTAAGACTTTTTTTTTTTTTTTTTTTTTTTTTTTTTTTTTTTTTTTTTTTTTTTTTGTAAATTTTGATACCCTTTAGATCATAATTGCTCTTTATTTCATAAATTACGGTTTCATATTTTTAATTTTATAATTTCTGCATGCCATCTTACCAGATTTAAATTGATGATCTATAATCTGGAATCGGCGAACTCCCGATGAGTCCGGATTAAAGACTTTGTACTGTACTTGTATATTCATGATTCGTAATAGTAAAATTTATTTGTAGTTCGTAATAGGAGTATTAATAGTTAATCTGTGAGGTTATAATTATTGGGTAACTGAGCTGTATTTAATTAATTAGCACAAAGTTTTCTCCTCTGGATGAAAGGTATATCATGCTATTTTCCGTTTTCTTTCTGAAATTCTTATTCTTGATTGCAAATTTAAGAAAAGCATTTGCGTTTCAGGTATGTAAATGATCTAGTTAAGGGACAGGTATTTATATAATGATTAGGATCTCCCCTATCCCCACATATGCATCAATCTGAAGTAGAAAACACAATATTTACAACAACACAATATCTACAGGAGGATTCCTCAAAAAAAAATGTACAAAACATATATAGAAGAGACCAAAATAAGTAGATTTTGTAATACAATACACAAATGAAAAATGCACATTGAGGTGGTACACAGCAATGTAAAATAACATTTAAAAACATTCTGGTGCTGTAAATGATTTTCTGCAGACATTTTGAATAGCATGCATTGCTAGATGATTGAATTTTGCCTATGGAGCTGCAGATGAAAACAGAGCAGCTGCTCAAAGGAGGTACTTGGGTATTGTTATATGTACTTCCTTTAGGTAGCTGCTCAGTTTCAGCTGCAGCTCCACAGATAAAATGCATGCTGGAAAACATGGCAATGTATAGAAGCTAAAATTTAAATAGGGGAATGATAAGATGAAAATTCATGCAACAGAATTCTTATCAACAGGTGATATACATGCAATCTATACTGTCTCAACATGCCATTTTTGCAAACAAATTCCATCAGAAAATCTACTTTAGATCCCCTGAACATTTTTGCCATATACTTTCTAAATACCCTATATATAAACACACATACATATTGATAAAATGATAAGCTAATACATTCATTATAAGAAATTACATCATTAAAGCAATAAATGTGAAACAATGCTTTAAAATAAAGCACGATATGCCAAAATACATTGAGTTATAAATACCAAATTGAAACATAACGTGAAATCTGACATCCTTTCAGAAGATGAGCGAGGTTTTATATTAAAAATCACAATCTAATAAAATTTCACAGTTTAAAATACATGTAATTTATGACATTGATTCTTAAACGATATTAGGATAATTACATTTTAAAAGCTACAAAACATAAATGTTTTGTAACAACAGCACACAACAAATTATTTATGCGTCTTTTTAATTTGAAGCCTTCCCAGACATTTTGGCTAATTTATATCAATATCCTTCTCTTTAAGCCTTTTTTCTAACAACAAGAAATTTGTTTAAATACAGAAACCAATGTTCCAATTCTCCCTTGCAGTTTTTTTTTTTTTTTTTTTTTTTTTTTTTTTTTTAAGCAATAAACAGCATACTGTCCACAATGCTCTTTTTCTATGGGATTCGGACATGCACGGCTTGCAAAATTATGAGCTGGGAATCTCAAATAGTTGAAGAAGAACTAGATTTTCCAAGTGTACCAGGTTATAAAATTCAAATAATCCAAAACAGCTACATTATTCATAATATTTCAGGTTATTCCTGAGTTGCCAAGAAAAGAAAATGTAGCAGGAACTAGTGGAATATTCTTTATATCTATTTTGTACCATTATTAAAACATTCAGGATAGTTATTGAATCATTTTCAGATTCATCAATATGTGTGGATAAGTCTTAGAAAAAAACAATTTGTTTCAATATTTTATCTTCAAAATAACTAAAATCACTTTCATTATCAAAAATATCATCAGTAACATGTTCCATCACTCACTGAACACTTCCTGCAAGCCATAGCTTGAATATAAAAGATGAAAATGCTAACAGTGAGAGCACTTGCAAAATCAGTTAATAAAGTCTACATTAATACAAATATTTAGGTGCAAAAAATGCCATCTGTTGATCAAAACATCACTCAATGTCTAAATGCAGTAGAAAGTGCATTATTGGCGATTAAACAGAATGAAAAACTAAATTCTCATGAAAATCGCAAGATGAACCCCTTTGTTATTTTTATGTTGCTTGTGTAAATCATAGGATAAGCTGTCACAGGGTTAAAACTCCTGATATTTTCAGCTAACTTCAAAATTATCTCAGAATTTTCAAAGACTTAAAGACGGTTGGGAAAAATATTGTAGTTCCTCAAAAATAAGATCTAATCAGATAAGAAGTCCATAAAAATGTTTTTTAAGGATGTTCGTAATAAAGGCCCCAGTTACGATCATCACCCAGACAGATGCTACACTTATTCTTCAATGACCAACTGGAATGCAGATACAGCATGCCGTTTCACTTGATGATGAACAAACAAGATTGTGACCAATTAGAATTTCAGAATTCAATATGTTACGAATTATAACAGATGTACTTAATGCACTTATGTGAAGTAAAAATTTTCTGAATTTTGTGCCTGCAGTTTTTTGCCATTTTTGAATGATCCGTCATTCTTAATGCTTTTTGTAGCCATGCCTATACCTTAAATTTTCAACAAACATTTGATTTAATAACAGATTTAAAGGGAATAATATTTTGATGATTAAAGAATAATAATGCAAAATAAAAAAAAAATATTTTGTTCAGTATAAGAAAGGAACTGTGAAAATGATGCTCCATGTCAAAAATCTTACTGCTTTTGCTAAAAGAAGAAATTGGGTCTCTGACAGTCTGAAAATGGCGATCAAAGTATAACCTCAGTCAACAGGTGGACTTGAGAAATACTAAGAAGCACAGACATGGAGCAGGTTGGCAACCATTACTTGCTGGTTGAAAAACATCCATCTGCAAATGGATTGTTTGACAGATAAGCAAAGATTTTTGTTTGCAAAGCTGATATTCAAACATTTGGCCTTGTAATGATATCACAATTATACATACCCCCAAAAGAACACAGAACATCACAAGAATGGTTTAATAGCTTTCTTCAGCGATATGAACTGTTTTTTTAGGAGATTGACAACAGAGTTCAGTCTGGGAGACAGTGAAATTATTAAACACGAATTTGCATTCAGATCTTTTGATGGCAATCGACTCTCCTAATTACCAACTCTCTTACATTATTGCTATAGGTGAAACTCAAGTGTTATAGGTAAAGTACCTCAAATGATAATTGATAATACAAGTCATTTGTCAATCTACTTTCTCTCCACTGGTTATGAAAGGGCATATGTGTTACCTGTATTTTGCCAATTCACCTGGACTAAAAGAAAGCACCAACAATAATCATCACTAAAAACAAAAAAGATAAGAGTGAATGTATTTTAAGCATTTTTATTCTTAAAATATTGTGTAAACAGTTAGCTAGACTTAGCTGAAAAATCTATGGGGAAAATTACATGAGGGGGGAAACAGGCAAGTAAATACAGTATTTGAACATGGAAAGTCGGCTGATTTAATGCTATCACTTGCTCTGCATGGTCAAAGAGATCACCATGGTCAGAGAGGTACGCTAACGTGGGATTTAAATATCGCTACTTTAAAGACATAAAGAACTTCCATGCACAAGGAAAGATAGATCAAATACTGATTTCCATAGGCCCAACTGCCCATCTCTAGACTCTTAATAAGACAATAAACAAATCATTTAAAAAACTACTATATTTACTTGTATATTTTTCTCCCTGTTTCTACTAATTTTACCACTTATAAATCAGGAGGAGGAAAACATTTGGTATATCATATTTTCTGAAGAGAGGGCTTAAATGATAAACACAGCACATTAAAAAGCACGTATAAGCACATACCAATTATGTGAAATTATTAATATTATTGCATCATATATTTCAAAGGACTTATACATTTCGAAAATAATTTTACAAAAAATTCTTTTCCAAACTGCGCATACACTTTACATTATTACCATCAACAAGAAGTTTCTAAACCATATGCTGAAAAATCTATGGGAAAATTACATGAGGGGGGAGGCAATTTGTACCTTGACTATTTGACTTCTAATACATTATAGTACCTTGATTAATTTATATGCAACTTAACTAATATTAGTTACAGGATACATTTTAAGGTGCATATATGTGTAATAAAAATACCAAGACTATTATTTTTGAACGGATATTTATGATTTGATTGCTTGGAGGATTAAAAAAAGTAGTGAAAGTCATGAGTTATATATAAGTAAACAGCCTTTATGATTCTTTTGATCCTTAGGGTGCAACATCAAGAAAATTTGGTATGAAATGAATAAATTATCAAATAGTGGAAAAAGAGCATGTATTAGAAAGTATATTGAAATTAAAATATACTTGTGGGTTTTAAGAAAATCAGCAAGAGGGATACATTGCCAAGTGCAAATGATCTGACTGTTAAATATTTTAATGATACTCTTAAGTGATATAATTGATTTTTGGAAAGATAAATATAAAATGATACTGTGCCAGAAGGTAAAAATGAAAAATGACTGTTCTAATTTCATATAATGATAATTGAAATTGGTATCTATCAAAAGGAAATAAATAAAAAATTGTTTAATCTGCATAAGTGAATTTTTGTAGTTTTTTTAAAAGTAAAACCATTACTTCATCTCTTCAGAAATTTCTGGCAGAATAATTTTTCCCCTTCCATTTTTATAAGTAATTTTTTTCTTGATATAACCATTAACTTGGTTGAAATCATTATCATATTTTACATCTGGCATACATCTGCTTTGTTTTTCTAGGGGATACTTTTTTGGGCCTAATTCTTCGACTTACATGCTGGAATTTGGGGAAGATTAATCACTCAGTTTGAAGAATCTTTTTATCCCAAATCAAAGAAATAAGACTACATATGAATTTTCCCTTTCCATAAGACAGAAAAATGTGAAGTGCAAAATAAATTCTGATAAAATTAAGACTCTATACTGAACAGAAAACGACTTGATTAACAAGGCTCAATTAGAATCTAATGCCATAAGATTTGAAGGCCCCAAATCATCTTTAATTCCACCAAATCATATTCCCTCTCCATCCTAAAAGTGAAGACTGAAAGACCTTAAAGAATGTTGTGCTAGGGCTCCAGATTACCTTAACTGAGTACAGCTGATCACAAAAAATATTTAACCCTTTGAATTTTTTTACCTTGGAGTCCATTTATTTGAAAATGGATTGGGTACACATTTATTATATTATTATTATTATTATTATTATTATTTTTGTGCACTTGGAGAATATTTAATTTTGTGGGCAAGTAAGAACAGTAGATTTTATGCAAGAATCAATTTATTTTGTATTATTCATTATATGTACTTTTCTACATAATACTGAAATAACTTTAGGCAGTGAGTATTACAACGTACTTTTAAACTAATAAACTCTGGTTAAAAAAGATAGCAAATTATCAATAATTTTGAAGCATTGTGATACTTTTCTAAACAGGTTGGCAAATGCAGTGGTACTTTGCATTCTTTGCACTGCCAGGTAGTATCCTTCCTTAACTTGGTGTTGACGTATCAGAACGTCATGTGCAAACAAATGCATGACATACTGATATGTCAAATGTAGCCAAAGGGTTAATCCAATGTGATATTGGACCAAATAACATTAAAAAAGAAATATTAGGTACTTAAATTAATTCTTGCCGTTTGTTGAATAGAAAACACATGTCTATTTTAATAGAATGGTAAAAGGTAATTTACTGAAGGTAGGCTACTACCTTTTCCCATTCTTCGGGTAACAAATGGATTCCAAGATAAAAAAATTCAAGCTCTTTTGAAGTGATGCACTCATGGAGCCAGTTTTCAAGATTGCTATAAGATATGAAATGTTGTTCAGAAAGGCTATGCTGCATAAATGTAAAAAATGGTAATTGGAGGAGATTTCTGGTGAATATGGCGGGTGGAGTAAGACATCACACTGAAGTCTGTGTTTGTCTTTTTAAGTGCATGATTCAAATACAGTAACTGTGCTTATAAGCATTTAACATTCATTGTCTGATCCAAATGCAGCAGCTCGTGGTACACGATACTGACTTGATCTCACCAAATACACAACGTAATCTTCTTGCCAATAATTTCCAGTTTTGGCATTGATGATTCATCGTGACATGCCCATGATTTCTTGTGCTTCTGATTGTCATAACGAATTAACTTTTCATCACCAGTTATTATGTGATGCAAAAATGGCTTGTTTTTGCCTTTGAAGCAACACTTCACAAATTGTTAAGCATTTTGTAACGTCTCTTTCTGTAATTTCATAAACAATTTCTAAATTATCATCATTGCTTTTCAATACTTACTAGTTAACACATGTCCATTTGGTGTTTCAGACAGCTGCATAAGTAGAGATGGAACTTCTGCCATTAATGGCTCTTTAACTGCCCATGGTCAAACTTTTGTCACTGACCAGGACACATTTTGTCACTCATCTCAAAATCTTGTCTCAAGAAATCATCAAAAAACAATCTCTGCACATTGTTTCCAACAAAGCATGCTCTCCATACATTTTCACTAGCAAACAATAACTTTCTGTGGCAGATTTCTTGAGATAAAAATAGAGAATAACATCTCCCACAAATATTTTTTTGTAGGTACAAAACCGAACATGATCAAAAGCACTAAATAGGTATGTTTTTTCACTACACCCAAGTCACACACAGATCTGAAAGCCTAATGTTTCTACTGTTAAACATATCTTATGTTGCTGACCACTATGCTGCACTAATGCAACTACTGCCCTCTCTGTCTCAACAGCGAGAATTAATTCAAGCTCTTAATACTAACAAAACCTCCAATATAAATTGTAAACAAACTTTTAGTACTAACTTAACCATATATTATTAACAATAATAATACTTTGCACATAATTATTTATATACTTACACGACTCCCATCAGAAGCATCAGCTCGAGGTGATAATGCTAGAGCTTGAAGACAAGAAGTCCATGTATTTGGATCCTTAAAAAGTATGAAATTAGGAAATGCTACATACTAAAGACATTTAAACTTTAAAATTGTATCATACATAATTATAGTTGTAAGTTTATGATGCTTTGAACAAAATTTTACATAACACTGCACACCTAACTATTCAAACCACAAATTTTTATTACAATTAATAATAAAGCATAACATCTGCAATAGAGTTGAGAAGTTTTAACATAATTATATTTATATGTTGGAATATAATTTCTTAAAACATAAATTAATAAAATCATATCTAACATATATTGATTCTTAAGCAATTACGTAAAACAATTATTGTTTTTATAATAAATTCTCTTAGCAAATAAAGAAAAATTTACAACCATCTTTTGATTCCAGATTTCATAAAAATGCTACAAATATTTAATTTTAATGAATACAAATGCATCTTCAAAACAGTAAACCAGAGATATTTTTAACGCCTCTAAAAGCGTATTTCACGCATTGAAAATCGGAAATACGCTTTAAAAAACTAGCCAGGCGTATTTTCACGCACTGAATTTTTAACAAAGGTTTCGCTTAAAATATGCATAGCGCCCGATCAAAATCAACAAGTAATATTTTTTTTTCTACTCAAAACACCACCAACATTTTCACCAGACTTCTCTGCGACAAAGAATATAGGAGCGGCACTGCACGCCGCCGTGCTTACTCATCAATCACGGCCAGAGGGTAAAAGAAAGAAGCTGACTAATGAAATTGACGTTTCATTGTATACTTTCTAGCACTGATTTCGTCACGCATTCCATGTTATTGAATGGTCATTCAAATAGTAAAATTGGTTATCAACACATGTGGTTTGGGAGTTCAGTGAAATTTCACATTACGATCTGGAAAAATCTTTTGCACTCTTTTCGGAAAATTGAAGGCAAAGTAAAAGCATATATAAAGGTAATTAAGTTTTTTCAAATTTTTCTAGCATTATTTCTAATATGCCTTTAAATTATTTTTATGCTTATAGTGTTTGCATTTTTCATTATTCTGTGATCGTCAGGAAAAAAGTCGAAATTTTACCGAGAACTACCAGTACAAAAATAAAATTTTAATTCCAATTTTCTTTTTAAAAAATCATGATCTTCACTAGTCGTACAGTGCAAATCTGGGTGTTTTATTGCTATTTCATTTTAAAAAATTGCAATTTTATCACATTTTTGGTATAAAAATTTGAATTGCATCGATGATTGTCGCCTGTGATGTCTTTTTATTTTGCGATCTTCTAGTGGGCACGGGTTTGGTTTGGTTTATTTAATTATGACAAAGCACACTAGGGCTATCTTCCTAAGGGGAGGAATGCCTACGTGGAGGACTTTCTAAGGGAAACTGGCTCGTATACACGTTACACATGGGAAAAACCACGAAAACGCCCATGCAGCCAGCTCGGGGTAAATCGGGACTTAACGTCCTGGTTATATGCAATTAATTCGTCTAAGAGCCACCCCATGTGAAAAATCGATATTTAGATGACATCTATCTATTCAAAAATCAGTATTTTGCATAAATTTTGAGATTTTTACCGATTTTGGGGGGGGAAAAAAAAAAAAAAAAAAGTACTTTTTCGAATTGTACAAACCCTGCTGTGATTTTTTTTTTTTTTTTTTTTTTTTTAATATTCTGTAGGAGAGAAGTATAATTTTTATTATTATTACTGTTTTAATTTGATGGCGCAAGATCGTCAAATTCATTACTAATTTTTAACTAAACGTTGCTCTTAAAATGATTGTAATTTGTATTCGTGCTTATAAGATAAATTCCTTTCATATAAAAATTAATATTTTAAGCAAAATTAAGATCACATATGAAGAAAAATTTAAGAAATTCCATACAGTCTGCAAAACGAAATGAAAGTTTCTACAAGTGATCAGATTTTAGGAGAAGCACATCAAAAATATTTTTTAGTTTCTAACTAATATTTTAAAACTATTTAATTTAACAGGATGGTCCCCTTGAGACCGAAGCAATTATTCCAGGAAAAAAATTAATTTAAATATGAGTTCTAAATCCGTCAAGGAGTTTTTTATAAAAAAGCCGTCAAGCCAAGTGTCAACCAGCTCAGAACCGTCAGCTAAGAAACCAAAGATTCATGAACAACCAGAAGAAACTACTTCTAAACATGATAAGTTTTTAAGTAAGTGGCTTAAAGAATTTCCTTGGGTCCTCTTCAATAAATAGGAAAATAAAATGTTTTGTAAAACATATCAATCTGCCAATATGAAAAACGGCTTGGGTGTGATGGGTTCATCATGTTTCCATAAAAGTACTCTGTCTCGCCATGAAAAAACTACGGAACACAGGCTTTCTTTAAATGCCAAGAAAGATTCTAAAGCTCTTAAAAATATCATCAAAAAGGTTGGTGTATTTAATTATTGCAAAGCACACGAGGGCTATCTGCCTAAAGGGAGGGATGCCTTCATGGAGGACTTTCTAAGGGAAACTGGCTCGTTTTAACACGTTACACATGGGAAAAAACCACGAAAACGCCCATGCAGCCCAGCCGTTCGCGGGATTCGAACCTCGGACCGAACTACCAGTGTTCAGCGACTTTACCGCTCGGCCGCTGGTGGGCCTATCATCAAAAAGGAAAAATATACAGGAACAGATAACGATTTGGTAGTGTTCAAAACTGTTTACACTATTGGAAAAGAAGAACTTTCTTTAACGACATTTACGTCTTTAATGATGCTTATGAAATTCTGTGGAAATGAGACTGTGAAAGAGACTCACTTGAATTTATCTTAAAATTCAGTTACAGACATAACTAGAGCTAATTCGGAAGTATAAGAATCAAATTTGGATGAGGATGTTTCAAATAGCCCCTATATTTCTTTAATGATAAATGAGTCAACAGATATTTCAGTTGACCATAAATTAATTATATATGTGAAATATGAAAAACAATGAAGTCAGAACAGTCTTGCAATTTAAAACTATGGGTGAATGCAATGCAGATGCACTGAAAGAAATAATAATTAAAGTTCTCAAAAAAAAAGTAATGTTATCAAAAGTTGTTGGCCTTTCAACAGATAGTGCTGATGTTATGATAGGAAAAAACAACGGATTGGCAAAATTCAGGATATGATACCTGTTGTGCACTATCACTGCATCTCACTGTTTGCTTTAGCTGTTCCCAAGTGCTGATGGAAATCCCATTTCAAAGCTGCCAGAGAATTTAGGTTCATTGTATGCTTATTTCACAGTCAATATTAGGATTGAAAGCTGAAATTGATGCAAGATGTGTTAAAGAGCCAAACATAACTCTCAAAGACATAAATGCTTTTGGTGGTTGTCACTTGGGAATGCAAATGATGTCATATCGGTTATGTGTGTGATCCTTGCCCCGACAGACATATTGCAAACAGAAAACAGAAACCTAGGAAAAGAGCTCAGTACTACTTAAACAATGCTCACATTTTCATTTGCAGACACGTTGTCATTTTTGAGAGATTGTTCTGATTATGAAAAAAGTCAGTAGAATTTTTCAGAGCAATGATATGGACTTCTCCGTGTTGGTTAACAGCCTAGAATAACTATTAATTGCATGCAGAAAATGAAAGAGGAGGAAGGTCATGGCATTATCTAAAGGAAATTTTAGAGTCTGCTCTTAAATTGGGAAATCGAGATGAAGATATTAAATTCCTGTTCTACTACTTTAAATGATTTCGAGTGCAAATGCTTTTTGAGTGCACTGATAGAGACTCTGCAAGAAAGAGTTAATTTGCAGCAGATGCATCTTTGCAGGATTTTGATGTTTTGTTGAATCCTCTTGTGTTACACATAGAATCATCAAGCTTGGAGTCCCTAGATGGTTATTAAACATTATGATAGGCCAGACTCTACTCGGTTTTTGGTGTTCAGCAGAAGGTTAAAGCAAGAGCACCTTGAAATAGAGTGTTTTATGCATGCTACGAAAATTCAAATTTAAAGTTTGCCAATTTGCTGTCAGAGTTAGATTGAACTTTACATCCAGATTTACAGCCTGGTACAAAGTATGACTACCTTTGTCAACGGCTGTTTGTGAAAGAGGGTTTTCTACTCAAAATAGGATCAATTCAAATAGGAGAATTGAATTGGAGGAAAAACAACTGGATAGTCTAAGGAGAATATCTGAGCAAAGAACAGATTTCAGAGAACAAAGTGGAAATGTTTTTGGTGATTTTAGAGAACAAAGTGGAAATGTTTTTGGTGATTTTAATTTTGAAAGAGCAGTAACCTCGTGGAAAAATCAGAGGAAAAGGAGATTAGAATTGTAATGTAACGAAGGAAAAATGTTTTTTGCGACATTAATTTTGAAAGAGTTGTGATATAATAAGGAAATCAGGGAAAAAAAGAGATTAAAATTGTAATGTAACCAAGGAAAAATGTTTTTTGTACCTTTAACTTTGAAAGAGTTTTGATATTGTAAGGAAATCAGCGTAAATTGTGGAAAAAAAAAGGGAAAAGAATATTAAATTTAATATAAATAAATAATTTTGAACATTTAATGTAAAAAAATTTTTTATTATAATTTTAATATTTCTATAATATTAAATATGCTAAATTGGATAAACCAAAATAGCATCCTCCTTTTTTTCTATTTCCTTTTGTCCATTAAAAAAGTGTTTTTTTATATCTCTGTATATGTAGTTTATGCTATTTCTGTATTTCACTCCTCCTAAAAAAGTCAAGGAGTATTTTTACTCTTCCAAAAAAATCCTAGGAATAACACTGCAGTAAACTATCTATTATACAAATTTATTTCTGTCTGAGGAAAAATGCATAAAACAACTTAACAGTACTCACATAGTGTATTAGGTTAAGATACACTGTATTAATTTGCATTAGAATATATGAACTAACCTCAAAGTTTTCATCTTCATCAAAATCAACTAAATTTCCTAAATGTGAAGTATGACCATCACTACGTTTAAATGTCCTCCCAGTTGGATCAAAAGGATCAACCACAACTTGTTCCGTTCCTTTTATTTCAGCTCTGCAAAATGGGCAACCTTGTCCTTCTGAATCCTACAATCAAAATCAACACTTACATAATTGAAAATTTAGAAATATCAAAATCTTAAAAAACTAAATCCATCACAAATATTAAAAAATTAAATTTAAAATTAGGAAAAAAAAAAAAAATCTTGGTTTGACATAGATTTTAAGAAAAGTATCAATTTTGAGACTTGGACAGTCTTTGCAATCAGAAACTGACCCCTCTTCTTCAGCCGGGGGAGGGGGGATTTGTGTTTACTTCTTAAAAAGAGAATCATGTGTCTGACCATCTTCAAAATCGACAGAGTTTTACTCAAAATTTTTGCCAAACTTCAGTTGCTTAGTTCTAAATTTTACATTGGCATGCTTCTCTTCCATGTGACAGATCAATTAAACTATAAATAGAATATTTTTATATTTAAAAAAAAAAAACAACACACACCTGCCATGAAGTCAAGCATGGTGTACATAGAAGATGACCACAAGGCTCAATGCGAATGTCCTTATCATTCTCAGCACAAATTTTACATAACTGAAATGTGGACCCCATTTCACAATAAAGCTCATATTGCTCTTGAGTAACTTTGATGTGATCTTCAGGTGTAGCCTGTACAGCCCAGCTTAGATCCGGATTTACATTTCTACCATCTGGATAAAGGTAGCTGAAATATTAAAATATGCATTAGAAATATAACACAAATTCTTTAACATATAGTGCTAAAAAAATCAGCATTACTTCTTACAGCACATTTTAGATATATACATGTTGAGACTAATGGAAAATTAATATTCCAGTATTATCTTTTATAAAAATAGACAAAATTTTTTCAATGTATTGCTTTACAGTTTTAAAAATATAAATATATATTATGGCTGAAAATACATACTTAAATTTCAAGGTTTATGCTTCTGAATACAAAATGACTTAACATGATTAACCCAACTCTATACCTTTCATTGTATATTAATTTGGTACAGGGAAAACCCTAATAGTTTTAAAATGCCATTACAATGATGATCAGGTTTTAATGAAGTGCTGTAATCATCTGCCATTCCTGCAGAGATGGAAACAAAGGATATACTGGGTAGCAGGTATGACAAGAATATAATTACAGTATTTCACTATTTGGTACAGCGAAAAGAAGTTAAATAAAACACTTATAAAAAAACTCAAAAATTTTTCCTTTCATTTAATCTATTACTTGTCCTTCTGTGGTCATAAATTTTAACAACATATTATTTGAAATCATGTCACTTACTTTGAATTGGCTTATACATTAAAATGTCTGGACATTCTCCTAAATTTCTGAAATCAATATATATTGTGATATTACCGTTTCAAAAATTCCAGTTCAACAGCTTTCAAAATGCTTTTGAATGTTTAATGCTTATAAAGAGTTAAAAAAATGTTGCTTTATCACCATATGCGTTTGTAAAGATCTCTAATATTACAATCTATTACATTACTTGAACTATTACATTATACTACTACACTGCTTGATAGTAGGAATACTTTTTCCTTTACAATAACTATGCAATCAGTTGCATACAAGGTTTTTTATGTATAACTAAAAATGTGAGTTTTAGTAGTACACAAAAACATAGAGTTCCTTCGAAATGGACAGCTGAATTGGAATGGAAGATTGAAATCAATGTCAATCAGATACTGCTTTTCGAATGTGAATGTCAAACCGCAATTCCGTAATTATAAGTTATCACAGACATAAAAAAATTAATGAAATCAAATCAAAAGGAAAAATAAAAAGTCTGAAAGGTTTCATATTTTAATGATTACCCAAGAGGATTTGTTAAGGTTTTTTACGCTGTTACTGATTTTGCAGTCTACAAGTCTGTTGTTACACTCCCTCCTACTAACCCACTTTTTTTTTTTTTTTTTTTGTCTTTTTAGCTTTGTTAAGCATCATATCCGTTGCACTTACGCCACATACAACAGAACAGAAAAATTACAAAAAAATTTAAAATCAGCATAGCAGTAGATTTTTAGAATTCCCAATGCAGCATTAAGAGTTGGCATAAATTTTTCTTCCCCCCTCCCAGTCTTTTCTAAATTCACTATATCTTACTAAAATGGCTTTACAAAACCCCCCCTTTTTTTTTTGGTCTTTTTATTAACACCTTTTTTTTGTGTTTACTTATTAAATATCACATTCTTGTCACTTATGCCGCATAAAATTCAATTCAACCACAAAATATCTAAAAACTGCACATCTTTAGAATTTCCGACAGACAGTCTCACACGCTGAAGATAAAAAAATGTTTTATTCCATACAGTGTTGCCACTGCTCACTTTGAAATTGGTCACTTCATTAAAGTTTTACAAAATATGAAAGAGGTAATAAAACAAATTCAAAATTCAGGTGGTGTCCAAGTTGAGGTGGAGGACTACGTTATTCAATATTTGATGGTTCTAGGTACAACTGTTCTTTCACAATGTGAGAAACATACATACATTTATGTAGATTCTTCATTACTTAATTTCTTTAAACGCAATACAGGTTAATATTTGGTAGCAGACTAATATCCCATTCAGGACTAACATCTCCTGGGGCTAATAAAGCTAGCTAATACTTTAACCTTATTTCTCATAGTCAGCTTTTTCCATCAATTCTAATCAAATATACATCTGATTAATTTATATGCTAAAAATTCATTGTTTGAGATATCTAGTTTTAATACGTTTAAAGTTGTCCACATTCTTGACACTTATGCTGCATAAAAGTGCTTATGCTGACATGCTATGTCAAAGAAACTTAGATGCCATGCTATGTGACAACAGAAGATCAAGATTGCTTGAAAATGTTAGTAAAAAGCAATATAACATTAATTCACTGCTTGCTTATGCTGCAATTTCTACTGGCAATCTAAATGCAACAAAATTTGCTCATCTTGCAAAAAAAGCATATCATACAGTTTCAATGTTTAACCATACATACATTTTGTGCAGTGCTTAGACTTAAATTACTTTTTTTTTCCTTCAACAGATGGGATTGATTGTCCCCTAAATTTCATATAATTGTATAAAGTTTGTGAATTGGTATGTAGCTTTCAAATATGAAATAAAAAATTCGCAACTTTTTAAGCGATTTTGTTAAAAAAATTCAGGAGTCAGAGGGTTAAGTGTTACACAACTGAGAAGTTCTTTCAATGCCTACCATTTTGCAACCATATTAGACAATACTAGCAAATAAGAAAGTACGGAAAGTTGCACAGGCTTTTTTTTTTTTTCTTTTTTTTTTTTCAATAGCTAGCTGGCAATAAGGAAATTGTTGACTTTTAAGAACATCACACAAATTTGGCCTAGCTAGTTTAAGAAATTAATTTATTAGATCAGAGATAGCTGGAAACGTATTTAGACATGTCACTCAATTTTAATCTTGATGGCCATCAAGGAATGCAGTTAGATCATAGAGAAATAACTCAGCTTCCTCTGAGTACACAGTACAAGGATCTACAGAAGGTTTCACAGTCCGAGACATGTTTTGCTGGCATAGAATAGGACCATTAATATAAATAAATGGTTATGCCAATCCAAGAGTTTATATGAATTCTACACTATATCAAATACATCTTGTAATAATATACCATTTATCTGGAAGGAGAAGGATATTTTGCAGACTGTAGATGCATCAGCAAAAATTAAAAGCAAAACTGAATCTTCTCGAATTTACAATTCATAGGATGTAAATCCACTTAAACATCTTGTGAAATTCATGACTGACCACTCATATATGTTATAGTTTGGAGTAGAAGTTCAGTACATTACTAATAAAAAAATTTAAAATCAATAGCCAGATGGATATTACTATACATGCAATAAAATATATTTCAAAAACTGGTTTTGAGGAAATATTTCCTGTTTTATACATTTGGAGACGGCAATTTTAAGAAATGCATAGTGACAATAAACAACTAGCATTTTATATATAAGTACAATAATTCAATTTTTATAATTTGTTTCATTTGTATAACATTAAAATATATTACATAGTATACTTATCAGTTATAAACAGAATATACAGCTTGAATTTTCTTGAATATATCTCAAAAATTGGAAGAGAGAACACAATAATAAAATTTTTTAATTAGGTAAAGAATCATACTAAGTATTAATCATATTTAAGTTTAAAAAAACATACAAGCCTTCTCGATAACCATCTAAAAGAGCCTGACATAATGATTTGTTTTGAGGAATGGTCTGCAGGATATTGCCTTCACCAGTGACATAACCAATTGCCCATTGACCTAATCGTGTACAACTCAGTCGAAAAACATAACTATAAGAAAAAAACAAGACAGCATTTTACTAATTCAAATTACCTTTGCAATATACATATATAATTAAGAATTGCAGATAGCAATATTTATATTGCAAAAGATTAAAACTAAAAAACTTAAGAAACAGAAAAACCCTTTAATAACAATATTTAATAAGTTTCTGGTCATTATTATCTATCTGCTTAGTTACACAGGACGGAGAAGGGACACCAGTTTGAAGATTTTACAAGCACCAGAATGACTTGCCTCAATTATTTTGTATAAAGATTTGTTGCAAATAAGAGCAATAAAATTACTTTAGGGAGCTTTTCATTTCTTATAAAAGAAATTCAGCTTCATGATTCAGCAAACACCTGGTTCAGTGTCCACAAAAGATCTTGTGGGGAAGGGACAGGGTACAAAAGGACTATGTTGCCATCCTTGCTTAATAAATCCTTTTTCTGTCTTCATAAATATTTTTATTCAGAAAAATGCTCATCCTCCTAAACTCAGTATTTATGACAAAAACTTGCAGGAAGTTATTTTGTTGGCATACTTGCCAACCTATGACACTCAAAAATCAGAAGACTTTTTTAAGAAATCAGGAGATTTTTACAATGTTAAAAATACTTTTTAAATGATAAAAATAAAGCTTTTAATAATGAATTTACTTTAAATAGTTACTAATTCTTAAATGAAAGCAACACAAAAATACTTTACACTGCATCGTTTTGGGGGGGGGGGAAGACACTTTAATCAGTTTTTGTACAAATGTTATGAACAGTGGCAGATTTTGCTTTCGTTAAGAAAGAAACTTCATAATTTTGTTCATAGCAATGCTATGTAGGCTGCTTTCGCTAATAAAAGTTTTTCTAATGTCATCACTAATTAGTTATGCATGTTGGAATGTTTCAATTTTTCCTTCCTTTAGAACTCCTTTCAAGATACTAAATAACAATGTGTTTGGTCCTTGCACTTGAATATTTCTTAGCAATTTCACTATCGGGAAACATTTTTCTAAATAAAGCTGCAGCGTGATCCGATGCATTCAGTGGCAGGTTGTGCTCCAGTAAAAAGGCAGAGAACAGACATTCTGCATTAACTTTTTGGTCCTTTGTTTCCGAAGAAAAATTAAATTTTTCGTTTTTTTTTTAAAACAACTCATGTTGTCCTTGTGTTTTTGTGTACGCACATGTTTGAGAACATCCACCCTTCCACCATGCGAAATCGAAAAAATCGCAACGACAGGCGGTACACATCGCAAATTTATTACATTTCCTTGAGGAAATAATGGAAGGAAAGTCAACTGTGTACGATTTTTGAAACGTACACGAGTATTTCACCTTTCTCGCAGACATAACAAAAGATGATAATTTCTAAAACTATTTCCCGAAGGCACGTGTACTCACACAACTCAGGACAAGATGAACGAAATAACTAAAGAACATCCAAATAACAGCCTTGAGCTTGCTTTGTGCTCATTGGCTAATATATGCCAGATGACACGCAGTGGAGCTCGATGCCCATTGGAAAAAACTGGAGAACGACGTTTCTGGATACGTATATGCTCTCACTCACAAAGCAGAAAAATTTCTCATCTGATTCGCAAGGTTTTGTTTTAGATATAATCTAGATAAAATTCAATTGCTTTTAGACATTCAAAATCCTTTTTTTTTTTTTTTTTTTCTCTCATATAACAAGTGTTAAGCCAAGTTCCATAAAAATCGTGAGAAATTTTAAGAAAAAGAAAAAGTCGGGAGAAATATATTGTAAATCGGGTTGGCAGGAGACCGGTCGAAAGTCGGGGGTCTCCCACCTAAATCGGGAGAGTTGGCAAACCTGTGTTGGATATTAAAAAGAAACTGTAACCATGAGGCAAAGTAAGAAAATAGTAGTTTTTTCTAACTTCCACTTCTTTGCTGCAAGAAGCTGGCAAGAAGATGCTTGCTACTTCTTTTTAACTGTCATAATAAATATGTCACTTTTTTTTTTTTTTTGAAATTCTTATTGCAGTTTTCACATAGTATGTATATGAAAGTTTTGAAAACCTGAAATGTTTACACTTCTCTATAAACATGTTGATTATGATAAGGTGGCTTAAAGGTTCATTGTCTAGGATGAGTGATTTCAGAGTGCAATAGTTTTCCATATCCGGGGTGAAATCCTTTGCCTTTGTTAATGATTCCGGCTGCAGCCTCGTGGGTCACTCTAGTGGACAAAGAGGTGAAAGAAATCTTTCCATCAGGGTCACGAGATGGACAATTTGTTATGTATGAGTGAAACAATCTCCCCCCGTGGGAGTTCAGCGCAATTAAACACAGGAAGATATACGAGGCGTATTCGGAAACTAAGTACCGTTTTGAAAAAAAAAAAAAAAAATAGTAAAACAATTTTTTCGAATTCAATTTTATTTTTACATGAAAATACATGTCTTCAACTATTTTTCAACATAGTTTCCACCAATGATCAAACACTTGTCATAGCGGGTGACCAGTTTTTGTATACCATCATCAAAGAAACTTCCCGCCAGTTTCGATAAACACGACTTCACAGCATTTTTTGTGTCATCGTCAGATCCAAAGCACTTGCCACCAAGCTCGCGCTTCATGTGCAGGAACAAGTAATAGTCGGACGGTGCAAGTCCGGGCTGTACGGCGGGTGATCGAACTGCTCCCAATGAAACTGTCGAATTAACGATTAAGCGACACCAGCAGTATGGGGGCCGAGCTTTGTCATGGAGCAACACAATTTCTTTACTGAGCATTCCTTTTCGTTTGTTTAGAATGGCACGCCTTAGTTTTGTTAAAGTCTCACAATATCGTGCCGCATTAATGGTTTCACCTCTGCGAAGAAATTCAGTAAGCAAAACGCCTTTCCTATCCCAGAAGCCAGTGCACATGATTTTTTGTGATGACATTGTCACTTTGAACTTTTGTTTTTTCGGAGAATGAGCGTGTTTCCACTCCATCGATTGTTGTTTCGTTTCTGGTGCGAAATGACACACCCAAGTTTCATCACCTGTCGCAATTTGGTTTAAAAAGTTTTCTCCTTCATCACTGTATCGCGTGAGAAATGTCAGGGCACTACCAAGTCGCTTTGTTTTGTGAACATCAGTGAGCATTTTTGGAACCCATCGGGAACACAGTTTGCGATAATTCAAGTGGTCAGACACAATTTCGAACAAAACAGTACGTGAAATTTGTGGAAATGCCTCTGAAAGAGTTGTCATTGTGAAGCGTCTGTTCTCATGAATTGCTTCATCTACTTTCCTTACCAAATCATCGGTGACAATAGAAGGCCGACCACTCCGAGCCTTGGCGTGGACATTTGTTCGACCTGCAATAAACATTCTTACCCACTTTCTCACCATTCTATCACTTATCGGTATTCACCGTAAATTCGTCACTTGACAATAAATTTCGGCCGGTTTACATTCCTCGAGTTCAAAATTATCACGGCACGAATCTCACAGTCAGCGGGAGAACTAATTGTCTTAAACATTTTGAATGTGCACAGCAAAAACTGAAAACACACATAGAGCAACCAAAATAGCGACAATTGAAAGTCAGTGAACAAGAAAGACTAGTGCGCATGCGCGAGACGCCTACCACAACGCTGCGACGGCGCTAGAATGAAATGGTACTTAGTTTCCAAATACGCTACGTATATAAGGTGGTTTCCTGAAAAGAGATAAAATTTTTTGTATTTAGAGCTATGGGCATGTTAGGGAACGACCGGTTCTCTTGAATGCTGTGGAAACTCGTAGTCAGACGCATGTGCGCAGGAGTTTAGAGAACGAGCACTGAAGACTTACGATTCCAGATCAGAAGAGGAGCAAGAGATAGAAAGTGAAAGTGTTGTGAATAATGAGCTTTGGGAAGAAGGGAAGTTAACAAGTAATACAGAGGACTCTATTGAAATTCCAGTCATCAGTTCAGAAGAAAAGTCTATCTTTGCAGATGTTCGACCAGCAGAATTCTCAGAAGCACAAAACACATGTGCTAGTTTAGCGGCCTTCTGGAAGAAAGGGAAAAAGAGTTTATAATTGTAAAGGAGAGGCTACTCAGAGTGGCATGGCAGGTTCTAAAAAAGGGGAAGATAAGCTTCAGCTGGGTGTGCCTCTTATTTTTAAGAAAGGGATCTTGAAGTTATGCCATGAGGAAATCTCTGGTCAATTAAGGGTAACAAAAACCAAGGATAGAGTTTTGAGTTAGTATTTCTGGCCAAATTGTTACCAGGAAATTGAGGAATTTGTGAGGACGTGCGATATCTGTCAGCGTGTAGGTCACAATAGGGATAAAAAGAAAGCCCCAATGAAGATTGAGCCAGTTATATCAGAAATGTACAGCACATTAAATATTGATGCAGTGGGACCTCTGATCCCTAGTTCACATGAAAATAAATACTTAATTACGTCAATTTGCGTTGCTTCTAAATCCAGATGCCATTCCTGTACAGAATTTAAGCTTTAAAAGTGTGATTTAAAAGCCTTGATACAGATTGTTGTTCAGAGGCCAATATTTAGAGTAAAGAAGCCATCGTAGGACAAGTCACTTTATTTACATGAATAATGAATAAAAATATCACACAGGAAATCATATTGAGCATCACACAGCAAACAACATATCAGCATCTCCCTACGCTCGAAGCTCGAATGACGGATGTGTCGGTGTAGAAGAGACAGCTGCGCCATCATAATTAATACGCATGTGCATAAGAAAAAACGTTCGCTCGCCTCTACCCAACACACCCCTCCTGCGAGCAACATTTTTCAATACAAAAACGAAATACAAACAATATATAACACATTACATTAAGAAATTAAGGAAATTACTTTCAATGTATATATTAATTTTTCTTCACTGACACTCTTAGTAAGAAAATCTGCAATCATATTATCAGTTTGTGAATATTCCAACTTAATAACATTGTCCTTTGTTAAGTCCTTCATAAAATAGAAACATAAGTTCATGTGTCTGGATTTCGTAGAAGATCTGGCACAGTTGATCCACTGGATGGT